AAAAAAAAAAAAAAAAAAGAGCCGCCTTGCCACTGGACCAGCCAGATTGGACAGGAGACAGAGCATGGTTGGGCTGGTTTGTGATCGGCAGCATATTGAACCAGACTTTGCTGTCAGCACTTCAGAATGCAATCTAAATAATCATCTGATCCCACCCTTTGTTTCCTTTTTCATTTTATTTTTTGTACTCCTCAGTAGAAATTATCATCTAGCTTGAGGGAGAAGTCCGTTTAAGTGAGGGTCACATAACAAAAGGAGGGCGCCATCATTCTGATGTTGCAAAGCGAGGGAATCTGCTCTGAAAGGTGTGCTGCCTTTTGCCAAACCACCCAAAGTCTGTTGTGTGCTTCTCTCAACTAAAATTTGAGAAAGTTTTTTGAATAGGAGGCTGTTCCTGAAAGCTGCCTAGTCTGGAACGGTCTTCGTAAACCACCCTGTCTGTTACAATTATGCCTCTGTTTCCACTGTACCGTCTGAGGAGCTACGGAAGCAGGGCTGGCCGAGTGCCAGCTCAAGAAACCACCCACTCACTGCCATCTGCTATTCCTGAAACATTGCTGACCCATCTCTATGGCATGGTTGCTTCCTAGCCAGTTAGGGTCATCCTGTGGGGATAGGGGCAGCCATGATTAAAGGAAAGGTGGCCCTACTGCTTCTGCTGCCCTGATTTTGTATCCCCTGCTCCCTCCCCCTGAAACTGTTGCTGTGTGGTTGTGTGTGTGTGGTGGTGGGGAGCAAGAGGTACTTCTCTTCCTGCCTCAGTTAGCAGGAGACTTTGCACCAGCACTGAGTGAACATGATAGTTGTACAGCCAGCCATGTTCAGACCCATCAGCCCAATTCAACCTGTTCTTTTGAAGGCTAAATGGGCGCTGGTGGTGAGATGGTGCAAAAAAGCCTCCCCATCTCCATCTACTCAGCCCCTAATTTCCCCCTATTGATAACAAGGACTTGGAACAGATTTTTACTCACATTTATTTAAATGTGAATAGACACTTCCTCCATCTCGTTAAACAGAAACGTTGTTAAACCTCTCATCTCAGCTGCAAAGCCTAGAGATTTTGGGGTGGGGTGGGGCTTTTCATATTCTTGCCCTCCTACCCTCTTTGAACCTTCAAATGAGAAATACATTTTTTGCCCTAAATGCCTCTCCCAAAGCATAGGAACCATGTCAAAGACATACACGTAGTTCATAAAATTATGAAGATCCTCATAGGATATGTGTGAACAGCTCTGAAAAACCCTATTAAAGTTGCTGTAAGTCAGAAGGGACTGGACAGTTAGTGTGCAGGGCAGGTTACAAGGACAGTGTCCTACATCCATCTGCTGTAGTTCCAGGTGCTATTTTCTCTATATGGGTGACGTTGACATCTACTCAGTGTACATCGGTGACAACATAGCAGTAAAAATAGTCTTGTAGTGTTGTGTATTCATTGTTCTATTCCATTCTATTCTTCTTTGTAAAACCTTAGCTAAGAGATATGGTTCCAGGAAAGCACCCACTGCCTCGAGTCAAAGACTATCCGACATGAACACTAACCATCCCTGGACCCAATCTTACTACTGTATAAGCAACAGAGGTTGATAGTTTTGTACTGTATTGTTGAGTGTTAGCCAATTGCCCTGGAAAAGCTATGATTTTAGCATCTATACCATTGTTCTCAATTAGCAAAAACTGTTGCCAGTAAAGAATTCATTTTTTAAAGACTGCATGGGAGTTCAAACCAGATATGTTAAAGTTGATTCTAAAATTGCTATATTGACATGTTAAAAGTATTTTCTTTTCTATGTATCTAATAGCTGCTGGCGGTGAAACTAACCAGACTCCTGGGGCATTTAAACAAGCAAAAGAAAAACTTTCAGTAAGTAAAACTGTTTTCCTTCTTATTCAAGTCTTCTTCTCCCCCATTCTGGATTTCCCTGTTTTTTAAGAGGGCCTTTTGAGGTGTTACTATCATTTCTATGGATAACTTGAAGAAACTCTTTTCTAATTTTAAATAATCATGTTCTCCTTCACTTCAGAATTAGTAACGGATTATTAGAACTTCCTTCATTGCTATAATGTATGAAATTCATATATCAACAAATTGTTAAGATTCAGCCAAGATGTGTCCTACCAAGAAAACTTTACATTTTGGACTATAGATCCCATAATTCTATAGGCAGTGTGGCCACTAGATTCTGGAAGCTGTGGTCTATTTTTTTTTTTAAAGGAAGAAAAAAAGAAAAGAAAAAGAATTTTTTTTCAAGCTCTGGTAGCTTTTGAGTACTGCCTGAAATTTGGGCTCTGCTTCTGTTTCTTGATTAGTGCTGCAGCTTTCTAGAATGTGTAAAATTATTATATTTGCATATGCAGATGAAGCCAGCAGGTTTTGCAAATATTGGCTTTTGCAGGCTGCTAATTATCATCATCCAACAAAGTAATGTATTTTAAACAGCAAACTTATCCTTCGTGTTAATAATAGGTGGTTTCATGAAGACATTTTGTTGTCTGGCAGATGCCATCATGATGATGATGATGATGATGATGATGATGATGATGATAATAGAATATGGAGTTTCGCTCCCAGGTTGCAGTGAATGTGGTAGGATCTACTTAGAAAAATATGTATGGGACTGAGATGTTCATCTTCTACAAAATGTTCTTCATCCCTTCTCTCAGATTCTGCACTGCCCCATCTTCTACACCTTCATGCTCATTTTAGCACTGCTTTGTAAGCATTGCCCCTCCTCTTCCTTCCCTGGACTCATTCTGTTTGCCAAGCCCTATCCTTATTCTTGCTGTTACGTCTACTCTTCTGGAATTGATTCTCACAGCAGTGCTTTAGGTGCCCAAGTTCTTTTCCTTTTAGTCCTTCTGCTGAATGTTCTTTGCTTCTGCTTCACTTTCCCCAAAAGTCCCTCTCCTTTTCTCTCTTCTGATCTGAGGTGGCCAGTTTTATTCATTTGAAATGTTGTGCTTTGCTTATTTAAAGCCAGAATTTGAGACACATTGACCTTTGCATAAATATAAATTTATCAAAAAGTAACTTCACTGCCAAACACTTTTAGGATTTGTACAATTAGAAGAGGCATCTGAGAAGCCCTTTGAAAATTTACTGTTTCATGTTTTGTGGTCCAATAAAAGGTATCGCCTAGTGTTGTATTTGTGAGTCGCGGTTACCAAACTTAAAAGAGGAGGCAGTTCTATCTGGTACATAGTTCTGATGCATAGTTAGATTGCCAAAAGAGAAATGATGCAATTTGCAGTGGCCAACTGCCTCTCGTGAATGAGTGCCCGCTTGTATTCTGCATCTGACTATGACTCTAAAAGGGGACTAGTTCATTAGTGATGACTTTCATTTTACTGGCTTAACTATGTGGCAAAACTAGGACCGCTATGAAGGGTCAAACCCTTATGTTATGAGAAATAAATATTTCCTCATATTAAGATATATTTCTTCCCATCCTGGAAACTTGATACTTGCCTTCACAATCAGAATGTCCAATTAAGCCCATGATTACCTTCCAGTGATGAATTGCATGCTAAATGCAAGATAACATAGGTAAAGACAATCACATGCTATGACAAAAGTTTTTCGCCACTTGAAAAACTGTGCCTCTTCTGAAAAGGGCCAAATGTATCATTGTGTTTGACCCTTAAAATATCAATAAACAAGTTACTATTAAAAATTAATAACTCTGGTTTTTTAACAATAGCCTCAAGTAATCCTTGCCTACCAAACGTCTGAACTCAGCCAACTGGATTTTGAGGTTTGCTGCTTTCAGCTCCTAAAAATGATAAATTTACATCTTTAAACAATGCAAAATTAGGACCCGAATTTACCTTGGACAGAAATGGTACAGATCTAATTCCTGCCCAATAAACACAGACGTTCTGGTTCAGAAATAGCTTGGTCATGCTATTAGTCCTTTTACTTGCTAAAACAGAGCACATATGCACTTATTACTTCGTCTTTGTTTAAGTTTCACAGGTTGAAATCCTGTTGTGCAGCTAAACAAATTTGTAGACATGAATTGCCATGAGTTAAAAAAGCTCCATAGACATTATGTGCAACTCAGCATGCGACAGGTATGAATTTTCTTAGCTTATGGCAATACATGTTCAAAAGCTATGCCATTTGCCTAACTACAGAATGGGATTTTAGTTGTATTCTATCAAATAGGTTTTAGGCACTGGCTGAATGGCTCAGTGAGTTGGCTAGGACTTTGATTCCCCATTGTGTCACCCAGGAGAAGAGTCAACCTGTGCAACCTTGGGCAAGGTGTATAGTCCTGGAGCACTCCCAGAAGAAGGAAACAATGTGTCACTGCGGATTACTCTACTCCAGACCTGGGCAAAGTGCAGCCCACAGGCCATATACAGCCTGCGAGCCGCTCCTGTCTGGCCCGCCAGTCATCACTCCAGTCTGGCCCGCCTGTCACTGCTCTTCTCCAGCCCACCCATCACCGCTCCTCTCTGGCCTTCTCGAGCTCCATAGACATTATGTGCAACTCAGCACCGCTCCTCTCTGGCCTTCTCTTCCCCACTGAATGAGCCGGAGCTCCGGCTCCAGTCACCTAGCATGGCAGTAAGCAAAATTCGCAAGATCCGACACTGGGATCTCATGAGTTTTGACTGTTACTCTTGAGTCACAGACTGTGGACCCTGCGGCTCACAAGGCTGGAAGCGATCCTTGCTCAGGCGACGTGATGACGCATCACGTCGCCTGCGCAGGATAGAAGACAGTCGGAGAGGAAAGCTGTGGGGGAACGGAGGACAGGTGAGTTAGCTCAGTGATGGGGTTTTTTCTCTCCCCCCCCGCGGTGAACGAATTACAGCGCTCACATAGTTAACTCCCTAAAAAGTTTAGAGAGTTAACTATGTCAGTCTTGTAGTTTGTTCACCGCAGGGCCTCACCCAATGGGGGCCTATTACTACCCATAAATTGGCGGCCTATTAATACGCACCTAATGGGTCCTAAGTAAAGTTGGTTTGGCCCCCAAACACAGTTCACATTTTTCATGTGGCTCCCTATAGATATTAACTGCCCACCCCTGCTCTCCTCCTAGAAAATCCTGGCAAGGTTCAGAATGTAACTGCAGCATGTCATTATTATTATCAAATGAATCATTGGGTTTTGATCACAGAGACTGGCAAACTGTCAAAGGAGCATGCATCAGATGACCAATGTGTTGTTTATACTAAATTGCTACCGCACAATATATGACTGAGTAGGTGGTTGTGTAGTTCCTGAGGTTCTGTTCAAGGCAGACATGTAGGCCATGCTTCAGGAGCCTCCGCAGCAAATTCTTAAGAAGTGCAGTGGGGTGCTGGAGCTTCTTTGCAAGAGGGCATCTCTCCATCCTTGGCTCTCATTTTGCACTAGCAGAAAATCGAGGTTGGAAGGTTACCTGTTTATCAAAAGGACATGCTATTGGAGAGAGGTAGATAATACAGGATCGCCTGAAGTTTATTCCTAATACTTAACAAGAAATAATTTGGGGACACATAAAGTAGTGCACAACATAAAATGACACAGCTTAGTGGAAGAGTGCATGCTTTGCATGCAGAAGGTCTCAGGTTTAACCCCTGGCAAGGTCAGGTAAAAGCATTAAGGAGCAGGTGATGATAAAGGCCTCTTACTGAGAACCTAGAGGCCTGCAAAGATGAGTGGGCTCAGCACAGTTAGTCTGATCTGGAGCAAGTATTTATTTTAGTGCCTCCTTTTTTTGTTCTGAGAAACCAGAATACAACTCAATGGATTTTGGCTTTTGAAATTGTATCTTCCATCCACATCTTTAAAAGTAGCAGCACAATCTACTTTGAATGAAGTTGCCAAATATAAAGTTGTCACATATCAACCTAACCCACCAAAAAATCTAGGTGACCATTTCTCTCACTTATTTTTCCTTTTTTTCTTCTTATTTCTAAAATGCTCTGTATTTTCTTAGCTTACAGTATCATCATTATGAAAGCTATCACTGTCATCCAATATTTTCAGATTTCTATCAGGAAGAGTTTTCAGCCATCAGTAAAAGAAATAATATTTAAAAATAAATAATGTCAACATTGTCTTCTTTCAACAGTTACCAGCTTCCATTTAATTTTAAAATATGGATTCAAAGCCCGAACTATAATAAGTGTCAAGGTAGAACATTTGAAAGTTGGTCTATTTTATCATTAAAAACTGAAATATCTTATTTGTAAATAAAAGAAAAATGACATGTAAAGAATTAGGTATCCACTCTCAAAGTGGTTGCCACTTTTCATCCATATTATTAAAAACATTAATGATGTAGTGCAGCTTTTGGTAATCTGGTTGTGCATCAGTGGGATAATTTAAATAGCATAAATTAAAGGTAAATTATCACATTTATTAGTTCTACATATTTTGAAGTCAATATTACCATCATGTGGCTCCGGGAAAGAGCATTCATTTTGCAATAAAAGCTCCTTCGTCTAGACTTTTGTGTTACATGACTCTCAAATAGCAGGGCTAGAATAACCCTGGTTCATGACCTGGAAAGCTGATGTAAGGATCTGTAGACAGGCCTGACATCAATGAGCTAGTGATATGACAGTGGAAGGCAGCTTTCTATTCTCATGAGCTACGTTGAAAACCTGAAAAATACCCAGTAGATTATTATTGGTTTTTTTTTCTTTTAAAAAGTTTCTTATGGGTTCAAAGAATAAAACATAGCTATGGATCTCATACTGAGACATAAACAAAAGCAGTAACACCAGTGAGAGAGCACACCATTATCTTTCCACAAACGCACATTACCTTTTATTATACATAATTATTTTATTCTAATAGATTGTTTCATAAAGTTCCGTGTTTACTTGGGTTTGTTGTCCATTTTCATGATTATGTCGAAAAAATATAATAAATTGGAGATGCACTGTATCAAAATAATCAGCTGGGACAAGCTATGGGGGCTCACTCCGTTGTGTGGACTCGATCTTACGACTGCTGGTCTTCTTGACCTTGCAGCACAGAGGCTTCTGTGGTCTAACCCACAGCGCCACCACGTCCCTTAATCACTGGTATATAACACCAGTTAAAAACCGGCACATTTCTCTAAAGGGTGTACAAATTTATGCTGCAGAGGGTATGGTAGCCTTGGGACTGTTTAAAATCATATGTGAGGCATGTTTATTACAGCTATTTGTAGACATTTCTCTGCTATCTTCTTATTTGGGGGGCCAACTCTTGTCTTCTGCTACAAGTAGAAATCTTAATAATTTTTAATAACAGCTTTGTATTCCCACCTGTAAGTTGATTTAGCAGGGCTATCAGTGGATGGGAACAGATTTATTGACTCATCATACACTCTAATTCAGCACGTATCAGGACCAAAAAATAACTGGCAAGAGATGTAACCACCACATATGATTTTAAAAAGTCCCAAGGCTACCATACCCTCTGCAGCATAAATTTGTACATCCTTTAGAGAAATGTGCCAGTTTTTAACTGGTGTTATATACCAGTGATTAAGGGACGTGGTGGCGCTGTGGGTTAGACCACAGAAGCCTCTGTGCTGCAAGGTCAAGAAGACCAGCAGTCGTAAGATCGAGTCCACACAACGGAGTGAGCCCCCATAGCTTGTCCCAGCTTCTGCCAACCTAGCAGTTCCAAAGCATGTAAATGTGAGTAGATAAAATAGGTACCACCTTGGTGGGAAGATAACGGTGTTGTGTGTCTAGTCGTGCTGGCCACGTGACTACGGAAACTGTCTTCAGACAAAACGCTGGCTCTATGGCTTGGAAACAGAGATGAGCACCTCAACCTAGAGTTGGACACGACTGGACTAAATGTCAAGGGCAACCTTTACCTTTACCTTTATATACCAGTGATTAGAGATGGGAATATTCGCATATGAAGGTGAATATCTCCGCACAGGTGGTGATAACGAGGGTTCAGCCCCATGGGGCTGGACAGTCCACTCACCGATCCACCGCTGCCACAGACGCTGTGATTCTTCCAATGGCTCCACAGATCACAATTGGCTAGCCACTCCTGGCAGGAGGACAAGCCTTGCTGTAAGGTTGAAGAGTGGCGAGCAGATCGCAATCCGTAGAGCCATTGGAAGAATCACGGCATCCATGGCAGTGGCGGATCAGTGAGTGGACCGTCTGGCCCCATGGGGCTGGACCCTCGTTATCGTCACCTGTGCGGGGATATTCATATATGAATACGAATCCCCCCATCTCTACCAGTGATATACCATCTTAGTTTTTGTTGCTCTTATGTTTGAATAGATTTTTTTTTCATTCTGCATACCATTCCATAATTCTACTAAAATGATACGTTTTAGATCTTGCTCCCATAGACTTCAACTCTATATTTATATATTTAGCTATATCTGGTACTGTTTCATAGATAAATGAGTTTCTAGCTTTTATGTTCCCCTCAAATGGTACCATTAAATTAGATCCTTAGTCACATTGTTGTTTAAGGGCAGAATATTAGCCTTGTTCCCATGTGTGCCATAGAGCTTGCACACATGATGGGCTTTTCAGACGCTGTGTTTTGTGGTCTGTTTTCCATCCTGCATGCATTTTCTGTTTGTCTCATTGTTTCACCTTCATGTTGCATTTCTTTTGTTTGTTTTCTCATGACTAGACTTCTTCTTTGTCAAAGATCCCTGCCTCAAAGGTTAGAGCAAATTCCTTGCTTCCTCCAAGACCCAGCTCAGCTTGCTCATTAAGTACCGCTAAAAAAGCTGCTTTGCTCAATACTGCCAATTACATTACACGGCCCTCTTCAGCGGGCCCAAGAGACTGCTTGCCATGTTCAGAAACAGATGCACAGGTAAGGCAGCGGAGGTAGCATAGTAACCCCTCAGAGAAGTGCAAATACGAATTCTACTTCTCTATTCTCTCTCTCCCCCCCCCAATTCCCTTATTGAATAGATACCTGTAACCACAGCTGTTTATTTCTCATTGACATTCCTTTATTCAGTAACGTAAGTATGGTATATCTTAATTTATAGCATCATAGCCATTTCCATAAGGCCTGGTCCCACAGTAATGTCACTAAAGAAGAACCTGCCGGTGAATGATATTGACCGTCCAGTCCTATGCCAGCAGCAACAGCCTACAGATCATAGCAAAATCTACTGTTGGTGATGCTGTTGTTCTGGGGTCAAATTTTGTTTTCAAAAATACTGCTCCCTTTGGCTAGTTCCAGGCAGCAGAGCTAAAATGATCAAATTCTGAGCAAAACATGATGGTTCAGAAGTAGAGCCTAATGGGATCTGAGAAAGTAGTGTGCAAACCCTGACAGTATGGAAGATAACGTGGAGTAGTCAGAACAAAATCTTGCAGGTAACTTCTAAGACAGAAATTGATGGGTAATATACTGTATTTAGAATATGGAATTTACTGGTCACACTACAACAGGACCCCTTTTTGGTTCTATGACCGTATAATAAAACTTAACTCTTACAACAGGATCCCTGCATCTGTGGGAGAACGGTTCCATGTCCCTCCGCAGATGCTGAAAAATTAGAATTACAGCAAGCACTATTATAATAGTGGGCATTGTACATAGCATGATCTCTGGATCCCTCTCTACACGACGCTCTGCAGCCAAACTGAAGATGCCAGTCTTCTTCTTCATCTTCATCTCCCTCCATTTCTCAGTACTCTCTTTTGCCTATATCATTTCACTTCAAAGCTCTTGCTATGCCTTTTTCTAATGACTTTGCTGTCAATAATAGTAATAGGGAGAAATCTCACCCCCTTGGTGGTTAGATTATTGAAAATTGATCTGATTTTTTTTTTGGCCTTGGTCTCATTCTGAAGCTACTGCTGGAGGAAATCTAGTGTACAGCAAAACATAAGCTTAAGCACTTTAGTCTGAAGTATTTGGTTTAAAAGATAGATGTCTGCTCTTGTTTCTACTAGGATGGAGTAACCAAGAGTCCAGAAAAGCGGTCTTCTCTACCAAGACCTTCTTCTATTATACCAACTCGGAGGGGCATGTCAGCAGACAGAGAGCGAGATGAGAATTCTTTCTCCTTGAACAGCACCACTTCATCAGTACGGCGGACCACCAGTATGTGTCTTGATGCTGTGACTCTTCCATTGTACTGCTGGTCCCACATTTTCTGTTCTTCAAAAGTCTGGATGCTCTAACTGTTCTAGCTTTATATGTATGGAAATTATATGTTAGTACAATATGTTGTAATAAAAATGTGCTAGTGTCTGTGTTGCTGAAGTTTTGGCAGTTCCAGTCAGTGGATAAATTCAGCACTCACCATCCTGATATCCTCAGGCTCAGCTTTTGATCACTATCCTATTTTTTTACAGGTAGCGCCCCCCCATTTTTTTCTTGACCACCCGCCACACTCAGCACCATAGAGCTTACTTTCTCTTATGTTACTGGTGAACAGCTTATCCTCTTTCCTGTCTCTGTAGACACGCTCACATTTAATGCTCTGGCCAGATGCACAGTGAATAGGAGCTAGTCACTTTTCTAGCTAGCATCATGAATCTTAATCTGGAATTCTGGATACTCACCTTTCCCACTTGATCTATGTTGCTCATTAAACTATCTGAGATTTATTTGAATGGTATCAAAACTGGCTGAAAAAACATTCATAGAAAAATACTAGTCTACTTAGACATAGCAGAAAAGGCAGTGTAATACATTCGACTGTCGAAATTAAATCACTACATAGATGTGGCTAATTCTTGGCTGCCTCTCATCTTAATGTAAATGTGTAGTGTTTGGGATAGAGAGAGAAAGCATCACAGTAAGTAAGTACCACTAACGTTGTTAAAACCAATGTGCTTGAAACTACAGCCTGAGATGGTACATGTAGTAAATGGGACACCTGCTTCTGTTCCTTGGGACAAGGTAGAAATCACTTCTAAGTAAACATGCATTGAATTGATCCACACCTCTTTGAATAACTTGGAGTTATTTCTTATTGTGACTTCGTTGGTATCGTTCTGCTTGCCTTAAACAAACAGACTTTGGAAAATCAACCTGCATACCCTTGTCATTCCTCTTCACTTTCTCATAAAAATGAAAACTCATTGAAAAATACTGCAATCTTTTAAAAAGCAAAAGCAAAGTGTGCTGCTTATATACCGCCCCATAGTGCTTCAAGCACTCTCTGGGCAGTTTACAAGTTAATTATGCAGGCTACACATTGCCCCCCCCCAGCAAGCTGGGTACTCATTTTACCAACCTCAGAAGGATAGAAGGCTGACGGTTTCCCTACTCCACCCCTTACAGCTTGTCAGCCTGCCGCTTTGTAGACCCAAATACAATGGTGCCTCGCACAACGGGCACCTCGTAAATTGATGAATTCGCTCTACGAGGCCGGTTTTGCGATCACAAATGCGATCGCAAAACGGTGCCTCAATAGGCAAAAAATCGCAGAGTGAAGGTCGGTAAGCGGTTCACTTACCGACCTTCGCTTTGCGACCCGCCGATCAGCTGTTCGGCAGCTACAAAATGGCCGCCAGAAGCCGCAAAATGGCCATGCGCAGCGTTTTCGCGTCCTCGTTAAGCGAGGGGAGGGCGCGAAAATGGCTGCCGGCCATAGAGGAAAATCGCTGAACTGTGAGTACAGAAGCCGATTTGAAAGCATTAAACACTGTTTAATGCGTT